CATGTGTGCATGCACATATATGTGCACATACATATACATACACATATGTGTATGTGTATATCTATCTTTGGTTACTATTGTATATATCATAGGAAGTTGAAAAAGAATAAGTTTTTTAGGTAGATAAGATATAAATACTGTAATTTACTGTCTGGCCCTGTATTGATATAATACCTCTTCCTGTCTATGTATCATTTTTACATGTGTTTGCGTCTTAGATTATAAGTTCCCAAGGCTCTATGGACCATATGTATGATTTTTTCCCTGCATCTTTGAAGCTTCCCCAGAGGTAAATGCATCTCTTAAAAGTGCTTTTTGATGGGGATGAAACAAAAGAAGAAAGGTTTCTGGAAGCAGACTTTCTGGGAATTGCCAGAGAAAGCTGTCCAGAGGTCAGAGGGTGGCTATTCTTCTGTCTGAAGCGGCTTTAAAGAAATCCCTTCCCTGAGGGATGATTCAGCACATCGCTGCCTTCACACCCCAGCCAGATGCTTCCCGAGACTCTACACTGGGAGGCATTATCAGTGTCACTACCTAGGAAGATTTCTGCTTGGAGCAACACTTGGTGTTACTTTTGGCAGATGTAGCTAGAGAGTGGCCAAGAAAGGATGTGACATAAATTCAACAATTTCATTCTGAAAAACGCGTGGTTTCAATGCTGGTCATTTCTTGTTAGTGCTTTGTTTTTCCTTCTTGGTCATAACAGCTGGACTTCCAGGGGAATATTTCTTCTTACAAATTAAGGAAATTTTCAGAGCCAAATTGCAGGTCTTTCCTGATTTGAAGAAAAAAAAACAATGAAAGGATAGCGGGTTTGGCTTTGAATAGTCACCAGGGACACTACATAAAAAGGTGACTATTATTATATGTCCTAACAAAGCAATGTTATTTTTGAAAAATACATTTTTGGTGTTGTTGTTAGAGAGGAACAATCTAACACTTCTATTGAACCTCTACTTGGAGATCCTTACACACACAATTTTAACTTTTAGAGGTGAGGATGGTGCAGTGCAGAGATTACATTTATTTCTAAAACAAGTTTGGAACCAAGACTAGAGATGCACCTAAGACAGCCTTTGGCCCAGTCGGCCTCCTGGTGGAATAAACTTGACCCAGTTGTCCTTGACTTTTGGCCCCTTGGCACCTAAAGGCTATAGAGTTTATAGCTTGAGTGTGAGCGTCCTCTTTGGTAAGATGGGGTAATCACACCAAACTCACCGCAATGCTGTGAGGATAGATTAAATATGATGATGATAATATTTAATATTTTTGAGAGCTTACTATGTGCCGGGCACTGTGTTAAGGACTTAACACATATTGTATCATTTAATCCTTACCACAGCTTAATGTAGAAACTATTTTTCTTCACCATCCTACCATAGGGAGACTGAGGCTCAGAGAGATTAAGTTACTTGCTCAAGGTCTCACAGCTAGTAAGTGATAGAATTAGTAGTCAAATCCCAGTTATCTGGCTTCAGAAATGTGTTTCCAAGCACTATGCTATGTTTCCTGCCCAGATAATGTGTGTGGAAATATCTTACACAATACGTGACACATAGTAGGTATTCAATTGATTTTAATTGGTTCTAAAATATTCCAGCACAAACCTAGGATTTCTATACAGCCCAGAGACTTTTGGAGGCCATTACCAATAATATCTGTGCTATCAACATGATCAATGAAAATAACACACACACACACACACACACACACACACACACACACACAAAACCATACATATCATTAACAAAACACCATGCTGTCCCACCCGGTCTAAAATAAATTCATAGTTAACCTTCAAATGATAAAACTACCTCTTGGGCATCAGGTGGTGCTTCTTTCTGCTAGCTGGATCCCAACGTCTGTATTCCTTCTTCCACTACAACACCTTCTTATTACAGTTAACAGAATTTTCTTGGTAAAGATCTGCCTTTAATCATATTTGCGTTTCTGAGTATCCCTTTGGCTGTTTATGAAAAGAATCATTCTTCTTTTACTCATCTTCCATTTATCTTTGTCCCCTATGTAGAGGACCTTGTGCTAGGTCAGTCTTAAAGAGATAAAGAAGTGGAGGCATGTCCAATAAGAAGCTTACATTTTGGTGACATAGTTACAAGCCTATGTGTAGAATTTGTCATGCTAGAATGTGTCTGCTTTGTAACCTGTATACATTTACCTGTTTTGAGGTGCTCCTGCACTATGTGACTTGCCCTTGTAGGCGTTCTTTTGATGGCAATCAAATGTCTGTTAGTTCAGGTTCTTCTCCCTAAGGATACTAGCTCTTTTCTCTTGGGAATTTTTGAAAAGATAACAAAAGGAATTACTTGAGTTAAACTGGTTGTGCATTATGGGTAATAGAGAAACTCCTGTTATTTTTTCCATCTGGTCATTATTATCTACAATGTGCAGAGTATTTCAGATTCAATAATAACCAAACAGAGTTCCTGCCTTCAAGGAGCCTACAATCTAGGGAAGGGACCCCCAAGCTAGAGACTGNTACGTGCAGATTTGAGCAGAGCTGCTCTACTTTTGTCTGTTTTACATCTTGGTTTTCTGAGTGATATCCCCTTTGAAGAAAGAGTCCTGCTGCTTAAAAAAAAAAAAAAGTGTGAAAATCACTGGTCTGGGCCTTGAGGGCAAACCGAGGCATTTGAGCTTTATAGGATGAACAATGCGGAAGCTGCAGGGATTAGACAGAAGACTAATAAGTCTACAGTAACAGTTTGTCAAAACTCTTATAATTCATTCCGTGGTGTGTGTAGTTGACTGGAAAGAGGAATAAACACATTGACCAGGCAGGAAGGGCCATGACAAGGCTGATTCTTCCTCCAAAATACCTGCTTTCTCCGTCCCCTGCTGGGCAGCCTCTTGGCCAGCAGTGCAGTTCCAGCATCTTACCTGAATCATGGCAGCAGCCCTCTAACCCTCTGCCTTCAGACTCTGAGCCCTTCATCCAGCTCAGCTCTCCAAAACACCCATCTGGTCATTCCATTCCATACCCCAAAGCCTCCAGTGGTTTTCCTTCGGCTGTGGGAAAAAACCCAAATGCCCCCTTGCTCAGCATTCAGCATTCCACAACTTGACACACTCTACCTTTCTAATCCCATTTGGACAGTCACACCTGTCTCCAGCTGACCAAACCTTCCTACATTTATTTTCTCTTGTGTGTTTCATGTCATCCCCTGGCCTTGGGATATACCCTCCACACACACACACACACACCTGTACCTAGTTTACGATCCCTGTAGACTTCATGCAGATTTCAGCAGCCTTTTTTGACCATGTTTGGTTCTATCGGTGTCTTCCGGATGAATGCTCAAAGGAGCCCTGCCTCTTAAATGGCATTCTGGCAGCGATAAGGGTTTTTTTTTTAGTTGTTAAGTGTCACCTAACATCATGCTGGGTTCATTGCACACCAAAAAGTCAAAACCATTTAAATCTAGCTGTATTAGGAATATTCCAGATACCTTTACTCCCAAATAAAAGCTCCATTTTACATGCCATTCAAGACCAGAGGCCGCCTTGTGAACGTCCCATGCCATTCTCTCAGTGGTCCCCTGTCCAGAGCCCAGCCTATGACACCCTTTCGGGTCACAGGACAGGAACATTCAGGGGTTTTATGCAGCTGCCTGTGTTCCCAGAAGTGGCTCAAGCTTAGTCAGCATTCTTTCTTAACTGGGACCTTGTATGAAATGTCTTCTTGACAAATGTCAGCGAAATTGAGAATCACCACACTGTTGATTAAAGGGATAAAAGTCCTGCCTGAAAGGCCTGAGCAACAGGCTTGATTCCCCCCCCGGGGCAGTTGGCTAAGGAAGGGCGGAATTATTGCTGCTTTAAGCCCCGCTCAGCCTGCCCCTAGTTCAATCAGAGGCCGTGGGAGAGGATTCCGACCTGATCAGGCAGTACACGCCATCCTCCTCCCCACAGGCAAGAGTAACAAGAACAATTTCTTGACCTGCAGTGGAGGCAGAGAAAAAGCATTTCCTGTTCCTCACTTGGCCTGGCGCCCATTCGCCAGCCCCCATGCAGCACCACTTCATCTATTAAAAGCTTTCTTTGCCTTACAAGTGCTGACGTTCTAGTGTGAGACAGACTCTTTATAAACCTGTGTCACTGGCTTCCTCTTTCAAGACACAGAAATCACAGCACAGATTGGTTTGTTTTGTTGTCACTGCTCGATCGTCCCCAAGGACCTTTCTCAGCTGTTGTAGGTACAAAACATACTAGGTACTAGACGAGCCAGGTTCTGTTCATCAGGGAGCTCCAAATTTAGGTTGTAGTGATTGTAGATGCCGAAAGTAAAATCAAATGCTAAAATAAAATGAACAGAATAAAATTTAGAAGTTTTTGGCTAGCTCAGGCTGAATGCCAGAACAGTTCACTGTAACTGGCTTATTCAGCAAAGGGTCCAGGAACAAGAACAGGAAGAACTTGACCTTGACCTTAAGGAATGAGCAGCTTGAGATCAGCTAAAGGAGGAGGAAAAAGCTGGATTCTGCCTCAGACACCGTGTCCAAGATTAGGGAGGTGACTCAACCTACTTTCAGACTGGATGTGTTTCTTCTCTGAGCATGGAGAGAGCTTCTTTCACTCTAACCAGCCCTGCTCCGTGGTATCAACAATACAGAAGAGGGGACCTGTGTGCCTCCATCAGAGGATGACAGACAGGGGGCACAGGAAGTGTCCAGGCGTATCTTGCTCACACCTTGGTAAGTTTTGGCCACACTTACCATGGGCGAGGGTAACCCAGAAGCCAATGAGGAGGCCAGTTATTATGAATAAGTGCCTGAGTCTCAAGTTAACATGAGACAACTGTCACCTCAGCATTCACAGGTGGAACAGGTAAAGGAGGGTTACAGGAGACAAAAGGTGACAAGTCACTGGGCTACTAATGGGACTAGCCTCCCCACTTGTTGCGCCTGCCATGCAGGAATCCCGTACTTTTACAGGGTGCTTATACATAGTCAACTCTCAGTATTTTCACCATGTGGGAAAGAAAAAGCATGGAAAAGCTCCATCCGTATACTACAAGTCTCAGTCCCTAATTTCACTCATGGCTTCCAACATCGTCCCCATCAAATCTCTGCCCAGAGACATCACAGAATGGCAAACTAGTTTGATTTCCACATTATCCTTCTGTCTTCAATTAATAAGTTGGCTGGCCTTGAACGAGCCAATTTGGCACTCATTCTTTCCAGTTGTGTAATGAGGATGGCGCTGGTCTGGAAGCACAGTCATCTCTCCCAGCATTACCGTTTGATGATTCTCTCCAAATAACTCTCTTCCCTCTGCTGTGCTTGTAAGTGAAGTGATAGCTGAGAGAGCAGCAGTATAGGGCAGTGGTTAGAGCTTTGCTTCTGGAGTTAGACAGCCAGGGCCTAGAAGTCAGCCCCTCTCGGGGCTCAGAGGGGCTTTCTCTCTGATGGAGGTTGGTC